TAAATTTTTTTCACAACTTGTGGAGAATTCAGTGTATTGAAATTTCACTTGGGAGAGAAAGGTAATTTATTTCATGTGAAGATAACATAAATAGGGGACTTTGGACATTGTTTGAAGACAATTGTAGAAAAATCTGACTGGAAAGAAAACTATTGTTTACGAGAAAGTTTTGGTCAGGCTCTCAATTCTTCAAATCAGGATGGAAAAGTCTTCTGCAGTTGTAGAGAATTTGAGGAATGAGGATGTCATTATTTTCCCACTCGTAGTTCTATTCTCATTTACCTTTTTTTGTGATCTAAARCCAGATTTATCATATACTCTAAGGTAATAGACGTTGAGAGAAAAGCTTGGAACTGGTATACCAAGAGATAATCCACRTTTAAAAATAAATTTTATTCATTTGCTATGAATTTGATGGGAAAAACAGACTAGTAATCAGATAGCCCCATTTAAAAAAATACACATACAATTGATAGAGAAATAAAAGATGAAACCCAGAAACATTAAATAAGAGATAAAATAGATCTGATGAGAATTTTTGTGAAATTTCACTGGAAAACAGCAAGGCATTCATGTGATTGTAAGAAGTATCATCAATTGTTCTAAAAAGACCAAAACTTCAAATATGAAGGCAAATCGAAATTCATCTATTTCAATCATTCAAAGTGATAAAAAGACCCATTTAAACCCTCGAAAAAGCCCACTTTTTTATAAAAGGTATGGTCCTAAACTTMTGAGTCATATGAATTGGCTTAGATTTTCAGTTATTTCCTACTGAACCACTGAGTTGATAGAAGTGTTGCTGTTAATTGAGGAAGCAAAAATGCCCTAAAATGTTTTGGACCCCCTTGGGAACAGCAAAAGGAAACAAACACTTAGGCTTTGACTGCGATTAGAGCCTAYAGGTATGCAGTAGAATTCATACATAGTGTATATATACACATAACTCATCCTATAAGCCATGCAAAATAGGCCCCCTCAGCTTAGGGTAAAAGTTAATGTAGTTCAGTACCCAGCATGMACTATGGGCATATCATGGAACAGGGGCACAAAGAGGTTTCCTCTCTTCAATCTCCCACAGTTTGGTTTCCTTTTTCATTGTCACTGAACATAGAAGTGGCATATCCAGTGGCTTATCCAGCATCACTGCATAATCTCTGTCCTGAGTGGAAATGACTAATTTGAGACCATCATGCCAAGTATAAACCAAGGGCTTTTTCCCTTGTGTTCTTTGTCTTGTACTTAGAAACAATGATTCTCCTGTGACATTTTATCAGCCAGTTSACCAGTCACTGTGAAATTCTTCCCAAAGAACAAGGTGAAACCACCAGCAAAATGTGTCACGTTGCAATTTATTAAAGTCTGACTTCTCTGACTAATGCACCCCTGAACTCATTGCTTATAAAGGGTATTCCTTCCCTACTGGTGTATGATTGGCTTTACGTCCTACCCTGAGGGATCTTACAAGTTTTCAGAAGGATGTGACAAATATCAATCAAACCATTACAATACATAGATATGTCAACTCTTTCAAAGAATTCTTTGTCAAAAGATTCTGGCTACTGCTGTAAAAGRCAATAAAATGTTTTTTATAAATACATTAACAATAAGAAGTAACTAAGGAAAATCTCCATCCTTTATTGGATGCAAGATGGAAGACTTTGAAAAAGGAAGAAGAGAAGGCTGAGATACTCAGTGCCTTCTTTTTTTCAGTTGCTAATAATAAGACCAGTTGTTCTCAGGGTACCCAGACCCCTGAGCTGCAGTCAGGAGAAGAATGAAGACCCCATAATCCAAGAGAAAATGGTCAGCAACCTGCTGCACCATTTAAAGTCCCACGAGTTTATGAGGCTGGATGGAATCCACATGAGGGTACAGTGAGAGCTGGTGGATGAGTTCACCAAACCACTTTCAATCATTTATCAGCAGTTCTGGCTCGCCAGGGAGRTCCCAGACYAACTGAGGGTGGTGAATGTGCCGCCCATTCACAGGAAGGGCCAGAAGGAGGATCTGGGGCATTGCAGGACAGCCAGCCTGRCCTCAGTGCCAGGGAAGGTTATGGAGCTGATCCTCCATGAGTGCCATGACGTGGCATGCAGAGGACAACTGGGTGATCAGGCCCTGCCAGCACAGGTTTATGAAAGGCAGATCCTGYTTGTGCTGACCTGACCTCCTTCTCTGACAAGGTGACCAGCTGAGTGAGAGAGGAATGGCTGTGGGTGTTGTGTACCTGGACTTTGGTAAAGCCTTGGACACTCTCCCAAAGCATCAAGTCAAAACAAGCATCTGCAAGGCTGGAAAGCTGCCTCATGGAAAAGGACCTGGGAATGCCATTTGACAGTTGCCTGAACATGAACTGTGTGCCCAGATGGCCAAGAAGGCCAGTGGCATCCTGGCCTGGATCAGCAATAGTGTGGCCAGCAGGACCAGGGCAGGGATTGACCTCCTCGAGTGCTGTGTTCAGTTCTGGACCCCTCAGGACAAGAAAGAGATTGAGGGGCTGAAACACATCCAGAGCAGGGCAATGGAGCTGGTGAAGGGTCTAGACTATTCTAGCTGTGGTTTTTTAGCCTGGAGAAAAGGAGGCTRAGGGGGGGCCTTAGCACTCTCTACAACTCTCCAAAAGGAGGAAGTTGTAGCCAAGAGAGGATCAGTCTCTTATCCCAAGGTACAAGATATAGGCCAAGAGGAAATGGCTTCAAGTTGTTTTGGGATGGTTTAAATTGAATATTAGGACAAATTTCTTCATGGAAAGGGCTGTCAAATACGGGAACAGGTTGCCCAGGGAAGTGGTTAAGTCATCACTCTMGTGTTATTTTGAAGATGTGTGACTGGGTCTCTTAGGGACATGGTTGGACGTGACAGCTCTGGATTAAGTGTTAGAGTTGACCATAAAGGTCTGAGTTGATCTTAGGGTCTTTTCCAATCTAAAAGTTTCTGTTTCTGTTGGCAGTCATGTTTATTATTCAATATTTTGTCATACTTATTCACAGAAATATAAATTCTGCAGTTTTAAAAAAGCTGAAATTGAACTAACCGTTCTGCACTTTAGATGCTCATCTGCATTTTTCAAAAAATTTAACATCCCATTTTTCTTTTCCCATTATTGTGGTACAGAGACACTTTGAGAGTTGCATCAATACGTACAGCTTAGCATTTTTCTTCTTGAGACAGCTAAAAGCTCTTGCACGCATACTAAACAGTCAGGGTAATTTGTTGTTACTTACTCTTTTATTACTTTTTTYCCCCCTGAATACTCTTCTATTGTTAGTTCAGCTTGGAATAGTGGTTTAAGCTCAACCACTGCAAAGGAAGCACATGTGCAGTAGATGGGGCTTTTCTGTTTTGCCAGCGCCTGCCCTAAACATTTCTTTTACACTTTGAACATCTACTGGCTCCTCGGGCTTTTTGAAATTATCTCTTTGGAAAAGAATATATTTTTTCTCATTGCTTTATTTAAATGCCATAGAAATGAGAAACAGAAAGCTGACAACTTTTAAGCACTCTTCTTGTTTCCCTGTCATCATAGTMTATTAAAAACTAAAAAGTTACGATATAGATGACCCGTATTTTGTTAATGAAATAACAGGAACTGCAGCTCAAAGCACATGCCAAGACGGATAAAATAGCTATTAGAGGGAGTCAAGAGAGAGCTTTTTAGAACAGAGATGAGACACACACAGAAGCCACACACTTGATAGAGTAGAAGGTGCACAATTTCTAAAGAATTTGAAATAAACACCTTTGCACCGAATGAATGCCCAGCTTTCCCAAGAAGTTCCCTGCCTAGGAGAGATAACCTACTATTTAACACTCAGGCTGAAGGAAGAAGGCTTTCTGAAACTCATCACTGGCATTACTGTGCCCATCTAATATATATGAGCAGTAAATTAATAACCATTTGTTAAAACTCATAAATAAAACCTGCTTGAATCGTACTTTAGTCTTAACTCTGAATTACAGAAGTAAAACAGCAAAATTAGAAACTTTTTTTATGTCATATTTATTCATTGTTGTTCTACCATAGTACGTTTGTCTGCATATTTCAAGGCTGTACAAAGACTGGTGTAAGTGCTTAATACCTATTAATAGACTAACCCATTTTAGTCAATAATTTACCCCTCCTGCAACCAGAGATCAGATATATACCAGGAGTATGAGCAAAGAAACAAAATAATGATAGATATTGTAAAAACCAGGAGAAAAAAAATAGATAGGAAAGTGAACAAGGAAAAAAAAATAAGCTTGTTCATAATGAATGTGATTATTGTTTCTCTTTATAGTGAAAACAGCTCTTTATAATATTATGGCTATACTAACCATGAAGCAGATGAGAAAAAGAGTACCAATGTTGTATTACTGGGCAGTCTGGGAACAGAAGGGGTTATACCAAGACACATGGCAAGTGTCACTCATGGGTATTTTTGGTAGGGTGCTTGATCCTACAAACAATACTGGAATGGCACTTCTGACCGTGGATGATCTCCCAGGTACAGACAGTAATGGTAAAGACACTGGAACCAGTGGGAGATGGCTTGTGCTTCCTGCCTGTCTAGAAGCCACTTTTGATGCAGGTGTAAGCTAGAAGTAGACTTCTGGATGCCCTGAGCTGTGTATTTGATTAAAAAAGGTTGGCTCCTGTGTACCAACTGCAGGGATCAGATCTACCTTTTCTTTTTTTAGATCAAGTTCTTGGAACCTCCAAAGTTTGCCCTGGAATGAGTCTGGGCTGTAGATTTCACAGAAACAGTAGGCAGGGCAGTATATATCTGCAGGGGAAAAACACTCTTTCTTTGAGACCCCTTWGCAGCAGCCAAGATGGGGCAGCAGCTGAAAGGCAAGGGTGTAAGAAACTCACTGGACAACAATGGTACTATGCAAGGTAATAAGCATTATGCATGTTAAGGACTATGCTAGTTCTGAACTTCATGTTTGTAGGAGAATGGACACAAATAGCAAAGTGACATGACTTGTACCCATTTGCCAGTCAACACAAAAAAAAAAAAACAGGAGAGAAGGCAGCCATGAGGGAAGAAGCAGATGTACACAATCCTGTCCACCCACATGCTCCTCATCTTCCCTGCAAGAAGATGTATCTATGCTGTCAGTATCACACAGACCTATTTTGTCCCACAGCTAATGACAGTTCTGCATGAATGCAACCTTCTTAAAAAAAAAAAAAAAAAAAAAAAAAAAAAAAAAAAAAAAAAAAAAAAAAAAAAAAAAAAAAAGCAAGGTCCAAACACACATGCAACTATGACAAATTGATGAAAACTCTCATCTACAAAAAACAGTGAATAACATCAATTAAGAGGCAGAGAGTCCCTCCATAGCCATGCCATAGTCATCAGGTCTAATACTTGATTTAAGAGTGGTCATCACAACAAACCTAGTTTGTACATTAACTTAATCTTTTTTCAGAGGGTTCACAATTTTCCCCATGAAGAGTATAGTGTTCTCCATAGTGTTCYCCATAGTTATGACCATTAGGAAGGGCCTGTTGAATCTAATGGTGACTGGAACGGACATGGGCACTATTTCCATGCCTGTGGCAGCTGCTGCTTCGGTGCCAGTCTCATCCACCTTTACCACAGCCTTATGAATAGCCTGTGAAGAAACAGACATTTTACAAGTCAAGGGGGTACAAAAGTAGTCACTTAAATAAGAATGAGAGTTAAAACTGCCTGGAGAAGTTATTGGTAAGCAACAAGCATCAGATGGACAGGTGTGAGTCCACTGCTAATAGACAGCAAAGTTMGAAAAAAGAATCAGCAAGCTACATGCAGCATAGCTTTCTAGCCCCAGAGAAGAAAAGTTACTCTCCAGTGGAGGGACATGTCCCGGCTAGTGAAAACATTTGCTTTGTTTGTTTTCTTATTCCTTGCACCTACTCATGGAGATCTGGACCAAATGTTAAGAGAGTAAAATCATATTTAACTGTCTATTAGAAGTTTGTGTGCTTGAAGAAATAACATGCAGGTTAGCACAATGAATAGAATTCTGAAATTATGTTTCCTATGTTCCTTCATGTTTTGGGAAAAACGGGAGCAAAGATGAAGGGCCAGAAATGGATGGTTAAAGCAGAGAAACATAAAAGTTTTACCTTGCAAAATTGAGATACTGACAGATCCTGATTCACTAATGTCCACTTGAGGTCATGAGGGCAGTTATTTTCTTCATTAAACAATGAAGTTTGCACTGACTGTCGGCTTTAAACTCTAGGTTTAGTGAAGCATGACCTATATAGCTTTAGCCTGGGCCAGGCAGTTATTGTTTATGTGCTYGAAGGCAAATGTTTGTAATAACTGCATTTTCCTTTCCTCCAAATTGCTCAAAAGCAAACTGTGTTTTTCCTCTCCCCTCTCCTCCATAAAATACAAGCAGTGATACATCCTACAGCTCCCTACTTGCCCACAAGCAGGTTAAAGAAGGCAGGCACAAACAGAAGAGGCCATGTAGTGACTGTAACAACACCATTAATGAGGTTATTTTGACCAGCTTGAGGGTACCAAGGTGTGGATAGGTGATGGGTTGATCATGTCTGTTTTATAAGGTCACCCCATGCAGGTCAAAATAACCTTCTAGATTAAAAAATTACAGACTTGTAACTTGCTCCAACCCAATTGCACACAAAGTGCAAATAACATGGACAAAACACTCTGTATGCCAACACCTGCCTTTTCCTGTGAAGCAAAGCCTCTTTACACGAGTTTTGCACCATGAATAGTTGTACAGAAAGTGATGCAAGTACCAGTAACCATGGGCCCATAAAACAAAAAGCAGCATGGCTTACCTGGGAAATTCTGTGCTGCGGCTGCCCAGTGATCCCAGAAAGGTCAGCCTTATCAGTGAATAGATCCATAATGCCCATTTTATATAGGATAGTTTTCAGGTCATATGTCCCGTGAAGCGTGAATTTYGGAAGATACAGATTTACTGAGCTGCCAGAAAAGAAGTTTGAAAAAATGGTGAAACATTTGATCAGTTATCACAGAATAACACAGACTCACAAAAGAATATCAGATTTTGCTTTTTTTTCTAAAGACATTTTGCCTGAAGGCTCTCTCTAGCCTACATAGGATATGTGCATTTTCAGAAGTTAATGATCTTTTGTGCAGTCTGCTCGAAGCACCTTYGTCATGGGCCATGAGGATGCATGTGTGAAAAAGAGATTCCTTTGTGTCTTAGAGCACAAAGGAAATTAAAAAAAAATCACCTTGTGTATTTATCATTTAAAACAAGACAGAGAGACAAAATTATATCCACTGAAGAAGCAGGACAACAGTAAGTAGTGATAGAAGGMATGGCAAAACAAGAGACAAAAGCAAATTTACAGAATATAGTTACTCAACAGATAATTATTTTTCTGTGTCAAGCCCAGTGTCTGTCTCACTCAATTTTAAGTGACTAGATTGCTGCTTTCCACAAATTAACCAAAGCTCTATGCTTCTGACTCATTTCCTCCTTGTTTTTGCCCATAAGTATCTACAATTCCTTTTCAAAGGTTAAGCCCAGCATTTTACAGCTGGAAGCAGCATAATGAGGTTGGTGATGGTGCTGAKATTAGGCACTGCTTCCTGGTGAGAAAGGACAGCTCTCCAGGGCTCCAGGTCAGAGAGATGTGGAGCACTTAATGAAGCTACAMAAAGTCATCCAGGGGGCAGGTGGGAAAGGGTCCGTACCTCCAGCATGGCACAGCATCCAGTGCCAACTCGGCTGTGTCCAACAATAAGAGTGCTGCTGGATTGATAACAGGTTGCTAATCTCTTACTTCTCCCTGATTTCAGCCTGTGCTGATTGTTGCCCCAAATGAGGATGCAGCTGTCATTGAACACCTGCCTTCCTGTTGCCTAAAGACATTCCTTCACAATCCCCCACTTGTTTCCAGTATAGAGGAAAGGGAAAGCCACAGATACAATAAAAGGGAAACCAGGAAGGAAGCGGTGGGATACACTTTCCTGAAGTGAAATTGATGTTTTCTCTACAGTTCAGCCATTTAAAAGATTTCAGCTGTCTGTACTGGCAACATTTCAGAGCTATCCTGTTTGACAAACTATCCAGTAATGAGAAATGCCCCTCACAACCCTTCTGCCACTAATGTCAACATCAGTTTGCAGATAGAAAAGGGACAAACATAGGTAGCCCACAGCCTTTAAATGATTCCATACACTACTTTCATTATTAAGATCTTCCAGAGACTCCAAATAATAGCAGATGCAATCAATTGCTTTAAAAACTAGAGGGGAAAGGTAATGACGAAAAATGGGGTGCAGCATGAAACAAACTTGTCTTTGACAGTGATTGTTTTTCATATTATAAGATGGAGAAACAAAATATTGTATTTAGCATTCTTCTTGATAATTGTAAAGGCAATTTTTTCTTTGACAAAAATTATACATGCGTGTCTTGATTTGCCATCTTGTTTGTTCTGTAGTCACAAACTTCATAGTTACTCCCAGAAATTTCAAAACTCTAAAGGTGCACAAAGAATTACACAGTTTTTCCTGTTTTCTGGGGGTTTTTTCCCCATATGAGGAAAAGGTTAGATTCTTTTGACAAGATTTAATAGTGAATCAGAGTTAAGAGYGTGAAACTTGTGTTGGGTTTCTGCATTCAGATGTAATTTTTTTCTTGAGAAGACACCRTCTAAAATACGATTTTCAAATGCCCATGTGACACATCAAATTCATGAATGAATACAGGGACCTGATACTGTAAACATGCTGTACACGTATTTTATGAAAGGCTACTGACATACATGACACTAAATGTAAGAACTCTCAAATTTTTAAAAGCATATAAACTTCCTGCCTGCCAGTCTCAAAAGCTAATTTGAATTGAGCATAGGTTATTCCAGTTTTTTAGGCCTTTTTAAGTCCTCAGAGAGCCTGAATAAGTGGCTCTGCAATATCCCAGATGCTCTACACCCTCATAATTGAGCATTGTCCTCACAATTGATGAATAGAAGTTGTTCTTTCAGCATTACCTGTACAATGACTGTTAATTTTAACAGGGAGAAAAGAAGAAAGAGACAATCAAAAAGCTGAAGTGCTAGGAATTTTTTTGTACATGGGAGAAGGTAGAAGACCTCTCTCCAAAAAAAATGAGAAGAGGGCTAAGTCTAAAATCTTGGGCCTATTGAGAGTTGAAGATGGGAAACAAAATGCAGAAAAAGTCCTAATCTGTGAAGGTTTTCAGTGCAGGCAGTACTGAATATGAAAACACATGGACAYTAAAGAACTAGATTCAACTTTGGTGAGGGGGATTCCTCCATAGATTAAAGTAGAACTAAAAATGGCACACTGATTCTGCATCATACCCCAGCACATTTGTTCCCTTCCCTACCATCTGAACCAAGAACTGCACAATTTTACCTTTTTGTGACTAATGTCCTCCACCTTGCTATACGTTCACAAGACAATCTTTTCTCCAGCTTCCTCATTCGTCCTCTATCAGGCAGAACGAAAAATGCTGAAGCACCTCCTTTGTAATCCATTTGCACCACAGTGGAAGACAGCTGCTCGTCATAGCCATGCTTGAACAGGCCATATCCAAACATCATCGGGACTTCAACCGCCTTGTTTGCATTCACAAAAAATTTGCTCTTTTTAGTGTATTTTGGATCGAAAGGCTTTTCCCATTCAGCTTGAAATATAAGAGACAGAGTTACAGGATATTTTGAGGACATGAAACAATWGGACATATTATCATAGGACACATTACCACAGGACACATTCTTAGATGACAGAAACTGGTACAGTTGGATCAGCTTCAAAGACAAACCAGCTTGCAATGATCACTTAATATTACTAAATACTCAGAATAATTCAATAGCAACACACAGTAGGTAGAATGTGTTGTAAAAATACTCCCTGAGATCCTAGAGCAGGCTGCAATATCCTTTCCTTAGATGAGCTATCAAGTGCACTACCTTGCACTTTTCCTGCATAACAGTTTTAAGGAGCCTGTATAGCCCTCAAAATAATGTGGCCATTCTTTTCTTATTCCCAGACCAAAAATAGGCTTGTAAAGGGTGACATGAGGAATAAATTCTCTGGAGAAATTAWGGGATTTGGGTTACTCGCAGAGAGGTGTTGATATCTCACATTATCTGATGACATATAGAGTCATAAAGAACTTAATTTTACCAGACCTCTCAGTTAAAAAACAAAACAGCAACAGCAGGAACCTTTTCCACTCTCATCTTCACATATTAAATTTCCAAAGGTTCCTCACTTAGTCATGGTGAAACAAACTGTCTGCACTAAAAATCTGAAAGATTCTTATCCTAAGTGGAGAGGAATTTCTAAGCCAAATTAAAGCTATCCACATCATCCATTTCAGAGGCTGAGCAAATTTTTAAAAGAGGGGGAAATAGTGTCGTTTTTGAAGAGTTTGTTGTTTTTATTTTATTTTTTAAGTTTTGTTGCTCTGTAGTAAATTTTGCCTTCTAGAGCAAAACTAATGTTTTGTTAAATGTAGTGAACAGATTCTGAGTACAAAAAGTGGCATCAAGAAAACTATGAAACAACCATTTCGACTTCTGATTTCTGTTTGAACATTGATTACTAGGCAGCTTGTTACAAATGAAATWATTATCGTCTGCTGTTTCCACCATCTGACATAGCCTGGACTAATAAATAGCTTTAGAAAAAGTGAAATGAGACTTCTTTAGTGAATGTCTTGGTCTCTGAAAGGATAGACTGACAACTGCAATACTCTGAACAGGGAAAAGCTGGTATTTTAATATACTTCATATTTTTTTATATACTTCACTAATAATGACTTTCATATATAACAGGCAGGACTTTTACATTATTATACCTAAGGGGAAACAAAAGGAGAATGAATCACAGAAACATGAATTTAACTAGTCCTGAAAAGCTTAAACAACACATCTAGTGCTCAACTCAGTGAAAACATCAACTGATTTCAAAAAGAACTTTGATTGAAAACTGAGTAGGATGTTAAGACCACTACTCTGGGCTTCAAGRTAGCAAACTCTGGGCTCTTCAGAGATCTGCTTGGGATAAAGCCATGGAGGGAAGAGGGCCCCAAGAAAAGTGGTTTGTCACWACAACCCCATGCAGCACTGTAGTCTGGGGGCAGAGTGGCTGGAAAGTGGCCCAGAGGCAAAGGACCTGGGAGTGCTGGTGACAGCAGCTGAACATGAGCCAGATGTGCCCAGGTTGCCAAGAAGGCCAATGGCATCCTGGCATCCTGGCATCCTGTGTGGCCAGCAGGACCAGGGCAGGGATTGTTCCCCTGTACTGGGCATTGGTGAGGTCACGYTTAGAATTCTATGTTCAGTTCTGGGCCCCTCAGGACAAGGAAGAGTGTAGTGGTGAGTCCAGAGAAGGAGCTGGGAAAGGATCTAGAGTGTCCATCATATGAGGAGCAGCTGAGGGAGCTGTGGTTTTTTAGGCTGAGGAAAGGAGGCTCAGGGAAGAACCTCACTGATCTCCACAAGCACCTGGAAGAAGGCTGTGGCCAGGTGGGGACAGGGCAAGAGGAAATGACCTCAAGCTGTGTCGGGGGAGGTTTGTGCTGGACATCAGGAAAATCAGTCTTTACTGGCAAGAGCAGGGACTGGGAGAATGAAAAACTGCACACTGTATAAGAAGATGAGGTTCAAGTCCATCCAAAGAACCTGAAGATACACAGGTCCATTAGACCTGATGAAAAGCATCTGTAGATCCTGAGGRAAATGAATGAAATGGCTAAACCACTATCCATCATATTTGAGAAGTTATGGCAGTCTGCTGAAATTCCCACTGACTGAAAAAGAGAAACAATAGCTCTCAATTTTAAAAAGTGAACATAGAGAGCCAGGAAACTCCCAGTCTCTCTCTCCTCTTTCAGTGGCAAGATCTTAGAGCAGACCGTCTGGAGACTATGCTAAGACACAAGGAAAATAAGGAAGTGATTGATGACAATCAGCATGACCTCACTAAGRGCAAATTGTGCTGAAGAATAATTGATGCCATCTACCTGGAGCTGTGCAAACCGTTTCACACTGTTCCACATGACATCCTTGACTCTGAACTGGAGAGATGGGYGTGACAGATGCTCCACTCAGGGGATAAAGGATTGGCTGGWTGGTTGCATTTGAACGGTTGCGACAGCTTGTAGTCCAAGAGGAAACCAGAGATGACCAGGACTCCTCGGGGGGTGGTATTAGGAYCAGAGCTGTTCAGTATCATTGTTGGTGACACGAACAGTGGAATTGAATGGCACAACAGTGGCACCAAGATGGCATCATTCAGCTGACAGCTGTTAGCAAGGGATGCCCTCCAGAGGGAAAGGATGCCATCCAGACAGAAGGGATGCCATCTAGGGMGAGTGAGACAGGCTTGAGAGGTGGCCATATTGGAACATTTTGAAGTTCAACAAGGCCAAGTGCGATGTCCTGCATCCCAAGCACAATATAAGCTGGGTAAACAATGGATTGAAAGCAGACCTGAGGAGAAGAACTTGGGGCTGTTGGTTGATGAGAATCTCAGCATGRCCTGGCAATGTGCACTTGCAACCCAGAAAGCCAAATACACCCTGAGCTGCATCAGAAGAAGTGGGGCCAGCAGGTCAARGGAGAAGATTCTCCACCTCTGCTTCACTCCAGCGAGATCTCACCTGGAGTACTGCATTCAGCTCTGGGGGCTCCAATRTTAGAAACTTGTGGAGRACTGGAGCACCTCTCCCATGAAGACAGGCTGAGAGAGCTGGGGTTGTTCASCCTGGCAAGAGAAGGCTCTGAGGAGATCYTAGAGCCCCTTCCAGTACCTAAAGGGGGCCTATAGATGAGGAAAGACTTCTTACACAGGCAGATAGAGATAGGACTAAGGGGGATGACTTTAAACAGAAAGAGATGGAAGAATAGACCAGTTATACAGCTAACTGAGGTTAAGAAATGTTCTCTGGATTAATCCCAGCTCTAGATTGTTAACCTACTCTTGATTTCAAGATTARAATTGTTATTATATTACTGCTATTAATGCTATTCTTTAATCCATTTACTTTAAAATTGGAAAGCTGAAACTGAAACTCCACCASCTTTGGAGGAGTTAGGAAATCTCTGCAGTAGTAAAATGAACACCTAATTTTAAAAAACCCCAACAACCCTTATTGTCAGAGCATGTAGAAGTTAACTGCTATACAAAGTTATCTTTAATACAAGTTTTCTCAGGCTTTTTTCCCACAGTGTTTCTAAATTTGTCACTCATTCTTCAAACAACCTTCAGTACAAAAAAATTCCACAGGTCTTTTGCCTGTTTTGGAAGATGTACCTGATGCTTAATAAAAGCCTAAATGAAAACATGACTTGAGATAAACAAGTGTGTTTTCAGTAGAACAAAGAAGCATCAGTCATCTGTATTTCAGTTAGCTCCATTTGTGGCCAGATCTTCAGATATTAACAGAAGGAGCAGAAATGGTAAGCAGAACAAAACAGAAATATAATTCTTAACTATTGTCAGGGGAAGCCTGATATTAGAAAGTGCAAGAATCCAGGCTAACAGTTTTAAAAGGATAGTTTTTCTTTTAAAAAAAATTCTAATATATCATCTCCATTTCAGTTAAAAATCTTGATGACATTTTTAGCACATAGATTACAAAATATTATTTTTCTGAGTATACTTTGTTTTCAGCATATATTCAGTAAGAAAGAGAAAGTTTGAAAAAAGATGCAATATTTGTTATTAGACCACTGATTGAGCCTTACAGCCTTGATCCTCTTCTTCTCATTAGATCAGAAGTCTGAAAAGCTCTGGGAAGTTTTGTAGACTGTATCTAAGCAGACTGCACAAGTTAATTAAGAAAAACAAGCTTATTGTCAATAGGCTTGTATTTGATACTGGTGGGTCCATCTCTTCACTGGAACATATTAGAATCTGCAAATCAAAAAAAAAGGTTGAAACCTACATCTCTAGACACACCAGGACTACAGACATGCTACCGGCAAAGGCATAGTTAGTAAAAAAAATAAGGAGGACATGAGTGTGAAACTAAAGCTATTGTTGAATGTTTAGTTTCGAATACATAAACGTACACAGTAACAGCAAAGTTGTTGACTAAACATATTTTCTATTCAATAAGATGCTAAGTATTACTTTAATAGCATCCTTTGCATTTAACTCTGAACTTGCTGATCAAACATCCAGCTGGATTGAAATTCACAGAACTGGATTTCAGCCAAGCACTTAAGAAAGGGCTTGAATCCCAATGGATTGTACAGGATTAGAGATGCCTGCCTCAACACATATTTCACTTAAACTTCAAAAGGAAAGAAGTTTATTTATTAAAAGATATGAGAAAATTTGCCATATATTTTGCTAAGAATTATCAGTGTCAGGTAGAACAAAATTTTCAATAGCTTTGTTTCTAATTAAATATAAGTGAGGACCAAAAGGAAAACAAGATGTTAGTCCATCTGAAACACCATATTGCAAGAAAAGATGAAGTCCAAGTCTGACCTGAGGAAATAATTTATGGAGCAGAAAAATATGATATGTGTATCTTACCGTTAAAATAAATATAGCTAATAAGGAGAATTTCAGTAAGTGGATCAAGGTTATTTACGAGGTCCTTGATTTTCCCATTGGTTCTTCTTGCTACATATTCATTGATCTTTAACTGGGCTTGAGCAGGATTCTTGAAGTTCATAGGATAAACTTCTCCTTCATAGTATTTTCTGAGATTATTTAGAAATTTTTCTTGTGGCTTCAGTCGATCAAGCACAAACAGAACATTTCCCATATTCAGCTGTAACCCCTCATTCCTTCTGTTTACCATTTGCATGAGCTGGCGATAACCTTCATGTATGTCATTTTCAGAAATCTGACGTGGGTTGAAGCTAAGGACCCTGAGAATCTGTTCCAGGGTGTCTGATCTGGCACCCAGAGTCACCATTGCAAAGGCAGTCGAGATGCTCAAAGGAGAGAAGAAAAYATCCCCACTGTTTTCAAGAGAAGAAATCTCTTTGTAGAAACAGCATTCGAATTGACAAACGCTGTTGCTTACACTCTGCCACAGCATGTTTCGGTTCTGTTGTCCTCCTTGATTCTGGTTTCTTACCCCTTCTTGGTAAGGCTGATAGCAAAAAGTGTTGGAATGGATTCCAGCAAGTAAAAGACACAGGAAAAGCAACATCTTCATATTTCTGTGACTCTGTAATAGAAGAAAAATGACATTTGGATTACAAATCTTTTCACCTTCTGTTTAGCAATACATCAATCCCTTCACTTAGCTTAGCTTAGCACCAGGCACTCCAAGATATTTGAATTGAGGGAAACAAGCTTTCTATTTCAAGGAAGCAGACTCTGGAAAATTACTCAACCTACCGAAGAAGTTATGAAATATTAAAAATTAAAATAAAAGAAGGATGAGGTAATTCCAAAGACGCCCTCATTAAAGTTAGGCTGCAATTAATTTTAAACTGTTTTTTCCCAATATTTTGCTTTCAGTGTTTCCAATTCTCTTTCACTCTTTAGGTGATAAAGAGTCAAAAGTACAGGTCTGTAGAGAAGAATGTAAGGGAGCCAGTCAAGGCTGACCAGTTACATTTGGAAATTCAGCTGATGAAAAATTGAAGCAGAATAAAGGCACAATATTCCTCCTTTGTGAAAGTTAAAATATACATTTTTGAGTGGGCTGCATGTAAACACATATGCAGGCACCAAGGAGAAAGTAAATGTACTCGTTAATGAGCAACTGATTAACATTTGTGGTGATTTCACACAGCTTGAATAATAGAGCACAACTAAAAGGAAAACAACCAACTTCCACAAAAAAAAAAAAAAAAAAA